AATTATCAGAACAGGTTGAGGAGTAACCCCACTTTGCTTTGACTTTCCAATAGCTCTCCCCTGAACTTGTCAATTTTCTGAGTATCCTCTGTATCTGAATGTTGGTCCCCACTGGGACCTGACTTGGGGTATTTCTGGAGGATAAAGGTTGTCTGTAGTCCACCTCATCTTAACTCATGTCACAAGTATTAAGCTGGAGCCCAGAAGGTCTGAGTGAAAGGGAGGAACCACTTGATAGTATAGTCCAGACTGGACCATATCCTAATGGTCTGTGCCTTCATTGGCCCAGAAGACACAGATGAACTTGGTGAGTTAAGTTTTAGCCCAGCATGGCTGCTGCCTTTTTGCTCATTAACTTCTGCAGGTTTTTAATGAAACGGAGGAAGAATTCTTCTTGGTTGCTTCCATCCCAGTTCTCAGTAGGCATTTGGGTCGCCTACTGGTTTTCATGGCATTGATTTATGATTCCCCTTCCCGTATTTTTTTTTTTGTTTCCTCAAGAGGCACTGAGCATTACGTGACTTACTTTCTTTAACTCTGCCTGTGATAAGCAGGAGGAAGAGGACTCTGATGAAGACTATCCACAGGGAAGCCAACAACCTTCTTTGCCAGATCCAGCATCTCACCTTCCTGTTGGTGACCACCTCACCTACTCTAATGAGACTGAGCCTGTTAGGGCCCTTCTACCAGATGAAAAGAAAGAAGTAAAACCACCAGCTCTCTCCATGTCTAATTTACATGAGGCTACCATGTGAGTATGAATCCCAAGTGTAGAGTCTCCTCTTAACTCCTTCTGATCTGATACCAGTATATGAAGCAGAGTTGGCCTTTGAACATGCTGGATTCAAAGGGGTGGGTCAACAATTCTCAGGGCCTTTATCCTAGACTCTTACATTTAGATGAGATAGTTTTTCCACTAGAAATCCACTTGGTAGTAAGCAAATGACTTGCCCTTTGTCTCTTAAATGGCCCTTCAGATAGAAGCCATTTGGATTTTCATTAATATCATCATTATTATTATCATTATTCAGTAGCTGGCATTCCTCATGATAATCTGGCCTTCTTTGGTTTGTATCTTATAGCCCAGATTATGAGATTGAGTTTAATTTAATTTAATTTGACAGAAGTGTCTATCAGAGAAAGCAAGCAGAAAATCCTTTTTTTGGTGGTAATTCTAAAGGAGTTATTCCTAACTTTTCAAGGGGTGTTGGACTTTTTTGAAACCAACAGAATTGTTTTAAGAAAAAGCCCATATATAATTTCAAGCTCACAGAATCTCTGAAACCATACATGAGTTTGGTCTGCTTGTGTATACCACATTCCTGCTCTAGCATGTATGACTTTTCTCTCATCTTGGTAGAATGAAGTGAGTAGAATTCACAATGTAACTATAGCTTTCTTCTGGGTCTTATTTTCATTCACAGGGGTTATGCCATTCTCCTAATATTCCTACACTTATTTCTCTAGATTAAGAATAGAATTTTCTTTAAAAGCTGTTCCTCTGTATCTCTTATGTTCAGTCTATCACCAAATGCTGATGAGTATTCCTTCAAAATATCCCTTCCCTCATCCATCTATATTGCTGTTACCCTTTCCAGTTCTTTCAGTGGATTCAATCAGTCTGCTTGCCTCTTGTCTGTCCTTTCCCATATCTTGTGATATTTTTTCCATCAGGTAATTTTCCCTGCTTATGTGCTTGCCTATGGTCAGGCTCTATGTGTGTCATATTTACCCAAAAGACACTCTTATGCTCAGAACACTTTTCAATCATAGTATGCTTTTTTGGCTGAACAGATAAATCTGCTCACGATGATCTCTCAATTATGCCAGTGCCCAGTAATGACAAATATTCTACCTTATATAGGCCTGTACTTCTTGACCATCTCCGAGAAACTAGGGCTGACAAGAAGAGACTGCGGAAAGCCTTAAGAGAATTTGAAGAACAGTTTTTTAAACAAACAGGAAGGTACGTGTGGGCAGAGAGATTTTTAAAGCTAATACTTCCTAGAGAATTACTGTTAAAAATGACCTGCAATTTTTTGCAGGAACGGTGACTTTTTACAAAATGTATATCATTTTCACACTGGCTTAGACTCAGGATTTGTCCAATGCAACATTCTAATATTGCCAATATTAGGGATGTTTTATGGGACATGGTAGCTGTCAGGTATGACATCAATCTGTAAAAAATAAAAGTTAAACTCTAAAAATCTCTAACTTTGCACAATAAATCTCAACATAAATACATGAATTGTGTGGTCTACTCACCTCTTAGTCCCTGGCAGGTATCCATTTTAGCCTACCAGGATATTCTTTGGGACTGGACCTACTGAGTGAAAAGCTTTTTGCATTCAGCCAACACAGATGTATCAACTTATTTTCTAGTTGGAATCTTCCTTTCAAGTTGATTGCAAAAGTCCAACTTACCTTTTTGGTGATGTTAACTAATCTAGTGAGAAATGTTATGTGGCTCATAAATTTAGAACATAAAGCATTTGTTATTATTTTTCCTTTTCCATCCTTTTTTCTTTTATAAAATGTTCATGTAACATTCCTTGTAAAACATTCCTTGGGGTAGTAACTTTGTCTGGACTGTCTGCTATTATTATACCTTGGATAAATATGTGACTTGCACTATAAAGTTCCTGATCTCTGCCTCTTTTGGATTAAAGGTATTCTATGGGAATTTTTCATTCAGGGAAATATTTGTGGAGATGCTATCAAATATTCTAAATTTAAACAGTCATTACATATGAGAAATGACACTTTAAGATGTGCATACATTCGTTTCATAAATTTGAGTTCCCTGAATAAATTTATATTTTTAGCAATTTGAACCCAGGAATCTATCGTAAGGGGTTTGAGAACTTCCCAGTGTGCTACTAGTTCTGCCTAGTGGATCTGCAGTGTCACTTGGTATGCTTTTTGTCATACAGGGAAGTTAGTTATGTTCTAGGTATAGTGTTCCACTGCACCTATGAGTCTTAAACCCACTTCAGATAAGCCTATATTTGGCTATGAAGTTGTATGCCCCCTTGTGGTGATATATTTCAACCAAATGCACAAGTGATGATCTTTTACAGCTAAAATCAAACAGTTGAGTGGCTAGGAAATATGGACCTTAATTTTGTTTATCTAAGACATTTTATTAGGAAGACCTAAGTATCAATAAGGTAAAATAACCATGCAAATGGATTACTAAAATGTTTAAGGCACTATAAATATTCTTGGTAATATTTGCCATACAAGAGGCATGAGAATCATATAGATATTACATTATTATTAATAATTATGAGCTTGGAACTGTGCTAAGCACTTTAGTATGTTTTATATAATGGGGAAACTGCTTCAGGAAAGACTTGGCAAAACTTTTCATTCTTGTCAAAGCACTCTTATTAGCCAAAATGGACTATGCAAAACTAGGGAAAATTACATAATGGATTATTAATGTTTCTCTGTAATAATTAGACAGTTTCTTTACTTAGATCTATTCATACAAATTAAGGTGATATTCAGACATCCAGTTATGATAAGTTTGACTCATAACACAGAATGGAGACAAAGGATTTATGTTGTATACTTTAGACAATAGTCAAGAAGAATGCTGTCTATGGATTTGTATACTGTTTTGAGTTCTGTACTAGAAATTGCAGAGCAATAAATAGTGTTGAAATACAAGTAGATACTATATTCTTAATCTGTATAGATTAGCTTGTTTTTTATTTGGTAAGAGATAGAAATATCTCTTTATCATTACTGGGAAAAATAGAAGGGAGCTAAAGATAAAACATTAAATATATGCTATTTACCTGGTTTCAGCCATACTAATGTTAGAGAATATTTGTGGTTATATTCAGTTGTAATTGTGGTGACTATATCTGTGTCCTCTACCCCTTGAATTTCAAAGTCCTGGGTGGAAATGTTTTCAAGGCAATTGGCTATCTTATTAACCAAGAAAACAAGAGTCTTCTGAGACCCTGTTGCAATTATTCCCTTTAGAAAACGTATCTTGACAACGTATTTTTGTGGGAAGGCAAATGGTTTTAACTCCTGATATTACCAAGTTATTCTTCCAAGTAAACAGCAAGAGTATATGTATGCATACGTATAAAAATCTATGCATTGTTACATGTCTAGCCTTAGTAGAATTAGTGTACAGAAGAGAACCACCACAATTTAGGCTCTCGTAAATTACTTCAATCAAGGACCAGCTCAGTGGTTCTACTACATATTAGCAGAGATAGGTATTACAATTACAAGACAATCTGGAAACGTTTCAAGTTTGTAAGACAGACCCTGAATGCTTTTCTTGTTACCATAAGTTTATAAATGATTTTTATAATGAAATTTATGTAGTATTTTCAGGTTAAAATTTTTGACAACTCTATTAAGGCTGAACATTTTGTACAGGTGTAGGGCTGTGGCAGATAATGGAAGAATGACAGGACAAAGAATGCCTTGAAAGTTCTATTTCTTGTTTGTTTGTTTCCCCTTAGATCTTTTCACTTACCCCATTGTTGTAAGTCTAAGCACTAGACCACATATTTGCAAAACACTTATGACATTCAAGTTTTCAAAGGTTACTGTTATTTAGAAGTTTAGTAACACATGGAAGAAGGAGTGAATGAAGGTGAAAGGGAAGGAAAAGAAGACATGATGCAAAAACCAAGTGGAAGCTGTCACAGTATACTTTCTCATGTATGAATTATAAAAGAATATTTAATAATGACTTGATTCATTGTGAACTAATAAATGTATTTTTGTTTTGCAGAAGTCCACAAAAGGAAGATAGGATACCAATGGCAGATGAGTATTATGAATATAAGCACATAAAAGCCAAACTGAGACTATTAGAGGTCCTCATCAGCAAGCAAGATGTGGCCAAAACTATTTGAGGTTCAGGAAATGTTATGATCACTTTCACCCATGATATAAAGTAAAGTTTATTTTCCTCTGCCATCCTTGCTAAGTAGTTTTGACACAATGAAAATGGAAGCACTTTAGTGGTAGTATTAGCTGTTTTCAAGAAGGAATAGCAAGTTTAATTATATACAAGGAGAAGGGATTTAAAAGGGGGGAAGGATACAACAGGTAGCCATATAATTGGGAAAAAATTCAGTGTCCTCCATGCCAAGCAGAAAACTCATAGTCAATACAAGTATTTTAAAAAATGTCTAATATTTTATCAAATCTAAATAACATAGCTAGGATGCTTGTTAGGGAAAGTTTATTTAGTATCCAAAGATTGTTTATGTTGATGTATGGAAAAGAGCATGATTTTTAAAACTCAATCAGAGGAGGAAAAGAAATTCTGCTTTTCAAGTAGGAAGGAATGTACCTAGCAAGAAAGTAATTTATTTGAAACTTCTAATGGATTTTTGAGTGATAAAACATTTACTACCTTGTCCCTTAAGTCTGCTAGGCTCTCAGTACCCTAAAATAACCTAGATTGTGTTACTGCTATTTTTTTTATTTCTCTATAAAAATAACACATTATTTTATCTGTTATTTGAAATTTTACATTTCTGGTTACCAAAGTTCATTCTGATAGCATGTACTTTGTGAATTATTATCTTTGTCTATAACTGACAGATGTTTATATTAAAATAAAATATTGTATTAAAAATTTAAAATAGGTATTTTGGATAGATATGTGTCTGCAGTATATAATCTAATATGTCCATAGTATTATTGCTAATCTTTTTGTTTACTATAAGATGATATAACTATTTTTTCATTGGGAATATACATTTTTCTTAATGTTCCAACATCTATACTTTGTAAAGTCAAAACATTTCCCATGAGCTGTAGTTATTCTTCCTTCTGTACAAAATGAAAGGTTTGGAAATTGCCCTGATACCTTGAAAAAGAAGCCAGAATATTTATTTGCATCATCAACTTTAGTGTATATTATTTTATGTTATTTTATACTAAAACATGTTTATTATTTTCATTTTTGTAAAAGGAAGTAAAAGATCAACATTTTCTCTCATGTACCAACCTTGTTTGTATTTCTATTTTCTGTAACGTTTAAGTATGATGTTGAAGAAATTCACATTTTTCTTATAGTTTGGATAGGAAGACTATTGACTATTTCAGAAACAGACTATTTCAGAGGATTATTGTTTTCTCTGTATTTACCTAATATTTTATAACTTTTATGAATCAGAATAATGTCCTTCATACATTTGTTTAATTGAAGTCATCTACTTGTAACAGGACAGATACACAACTATTTGAGGTTTACAAATTACATCTTTGATAAGGGAAATGGTTTCGTGACATGTACACAATTGCTATTAAAATGTAACTCTATATATTCTATATGATTGTAAATATTTTATACAACAATACAAATAAAATATTTTTCTATTATATTTATTATGTTGAAACACAGTAGTTGTTTCCTGTTAGCTAATATAAATAACATAAATAACACTGTCAAACAAGAAGTTGGAAGTGCTGACAATTCTAGGCTTCAAGATTTAACTCATGCTGCAATTACACCCTTTCATGCGGTTTGGAGTTATCCCAATATTTGTTCAGTAGATTAAAATGAATGCATATTTAAACACCACTTATAAGCCATTATTGTGTACTTTGCTAAAGCGGTCTATATAACTGTTTTGTTATGTTTGGCATAAAGGAAACATAAAAACATTGCAGCATCTAGGCAATAAAGTGTCAGAAGGAGAACTTAGGGTATTTCATCATTGAAAGTAGTGGGAGGGGTAGGGAATAGGAAAACACTAAAATGGCTCTGAATGGAATTTGGAAAGTGGTAGTTCGTTTTTGGTGACAGTGGCATGTGCATGCTTCAGTGGAAAACATCTGGTGATGAAAATGGACAACAGGACCAATGCTCCTAATGGAGGAAAAGGGGCTGAGTAAGAATAAGAAAAGTGGGCATTAACGTCCAACACTGATATTACAGGTTTTGCAGCTGGGATCTTTCTTTGCATTTGCAGTAGACAAACTCATGAGCTGATGACCAGTGATTTCTGCCACGGTGCCCAGAGAAAGATCCACAGGGTCAGTGTAAATGACTTCTAAAATGACATCCTGGGCATGGTGGTAAACCAGCACCCCATCTTCTTCTGTACAGGTCAAAAATTTATTATCCTTAGAATTTAGTTGAGGAAGGCGCTGCTTACAAAATTCATCTCCTGGTGATCCCACAGGAGCAATAACAAGAATCACATAATGATAAGCAGTGTACATACAGTAGAAGTCCCCAAAGTATAAGTTAGTGTTGGGGTTAAAAAGTTTTTCTGCAGCAATCTCAAACCTGTATCTTCCATAAGGTGAATCCTGGGGTGGCTTTCCAGTATTGAATTCAGTGCTGCAGCTGAAGAAGATGCCTTCTAGTTTTCCACTGATAGGAGAGCCATGGCTACCACTGTTATCCTTGACAGAGGGCTGCATAGCATTCCCATGATGTTCTCTGCAAGAGGAAACAAGTGGTCACTGCTTAATACAATAGTGGTAAACCCACTGATTTATATATTTGAATGGCCTAAAAGTCAAACATCTACTGTTAAAGGCCTGAATACCCCTCTTACTATCAGAGTAAGGGGACAGCATCTTTTGACATATTACCTATAGATGGCTGAATTCTAGCTTTGACCTTGAGGTAGGGATGATCTGCTACAAGCCTTGGAGACTTTGTATTAAATTAACATAATAATGTAAATTTCCTGACCAGAAAAATCAAACTGGAATTAGAAACCTTACTGGTAAAATCACACATACATTAGGTGCCAACTAGGTTTCAGAAGTGGCTTTCTGAAGAGAAAACTGAACTAAAGTTATTTGTTAGTTAAATATATTGAATGTTTCTTTAAAGCATGATAGATTTAGTCATAAAATGAGTGCTGTCCATTTATACCGGCACAAAAGTGTTTTGTTTTGGCTTTTTTTTTTTTTTTTTGAGACAGCCTCTCGCTCTGTTGCCAGACTGGAGAGCAGTGGCGCAATCTCAGTTCACTGCAACCTCTGCCTCCCAGGTTCAAGCAATTCTCCTGCCTCAGCCTCCAGAGTAGCTGGGACTACAGGAATGCACCACCATACCCAGCTAATTTTTGTACTTTTACTACAGAAAGGGTTTCACCATGTTGGCTGGGATGGTTTGATCTCTTGACCTTGTGATCCGCCCACCTTGGCCTTCCAAAGTGCTGGGATTACAGGCATGAGCCACCACACTCAGCTCGTTTTGGCTTTTTAACCCAAGGACAGTAATCAGGTTATTTCTCTGGCATGTTGCTTAAAACAGTGCTGGCTACTCCCCCTTTACCTCACCCCCAGTTCCATTCATTCTTCATTCTCCACCAGTCTTCCACTATGGCTTGGGACTCTATCACTCAGTTCCTTATCTCTTGGTCCCTTCTATTTCAGTTCTACCAATGTGAGGCACCAGCATATATAGAGTAGTATATAGAGTAGGAGGAGGTAAAGCTTTGGGTGTGTCTTCCTGTATTTCCTCCATGCTTTGGGGCCTTGTGGTTCTGGCAGGGCTGGGTTCTTCATAACTATGTATCTCTGACTACTGCTACTGCTGGATGAATTCCTATTCCCTTTAATTCCCAAGAAGAGTAAAACTTTTCAATTCTTGCTAGTGCTAGTTCTTGGTTACTTTAGCATCCCCTGTTTGTTACCTTAACCCTGACTACACCTCTATGAGCGGTAGTTTTGTTACATTCTCTCCAGAATTCCCCAAGTGTGCCTTTTTTTTTTTTCTGGGTCCCTGACCAGCATGACTTGGGAAGCAAAGTTCAAGCTACTACTCAAGTAAGGGAAAGTTCCCCCAGTCAACGTGCTTCTTAAAGAGTTTATGGGTCAGTGAAATGCCTGGATCAGCCTCTGAATTTAGCAGCAATGGGTCTCAAATTCTACCACCTGAAAACCACCTAGGGAGTTTATTAAAAATGCAAATTCAAGGAAAGACCAAAAAATTGTCACAGTTAAGGGAATATGGAAACACAACAAATAAATGTAGTGTGTTATCCTGGATGTGACCTATACTTTTACTTGTACTGTTCTTTTTTTCTTTCTGATGTTCCAAGATTCCTTCTTTTATTATTTCCTTCCTTCCCGTTTCAGAAACTTCCTTTAGGATAGATATGCTGTTGACAAATCCCCTTAGTTTTCCTTCATCTGAGCATATCTTAATTCCCTTTTATTATTGAAGGATATTTTCACTGGATATAGGATTCTCAGTTGACAGTGCTCTTTCAGCATTTGAAAATATTATGTCACTTTCTTTTGGCCTAGGTAGTTTCTGATGATGATGTCATTCAAATTGTTTTATTTTTCCTTATATAGTGGTGTCTTATATCTCACCACTTTCAATGTTCCCCCTCGCCCCCGCTTTGGCCTGCGGTTTTCAGTTTGTAATGTATCTTGGCATGGATTTCTTTGGGTTTATCCCATTTAGGGTTTTCTCAGCTTGAATCTGTATGTTTATGTTATTTGGCAAATTTGGGAACATTATGGCTATTATTTCTATGAATACTTTTTCAGCCCCACCCTCTTTCTCCTTTCCTTCTTGACTTTAACATCATGAATATTAGATCTGCTATAGTCTCACATGTCCATAAGACTGATATTTTTTTTTCAGTGAGTTTTATCTCTATTGTTCAATTTGGGTAATTTCTATTCTATCTTCAAGTTTACTATTTTTTTCTCTTTGTCCTCTTGAATCTGCTGTGGAATCCATGGAGTCTATTCAGCTTTTGACTTCACTTACTGTGTTTTTATGTTCCGAAATTTTCATTTAATTCTTTGTATCTTCTATTTCTTTGCTGCTTCTGTTTTTATCTGTTTTAAGTGTGTTAGTGTGTGCTTGTTGAACCATTTTTATGGTGGCTGCTTAAATATTTTTGTCAGATAATTCCAAGATCTGCATTATTTTGGTTTTGGTATCTTTGATCATCTTTTCTCATTCAGGTTAAGATTTTCCTGGTTCTTGGTGTCATACATGAGTTCCGTTTGTATCCTGGGCATTTTAAGTTTTATGTTATTATATTTTGGATCAGATTAAAATCTAGTATTTTAGCAGGCCTCCTCTTGACTATCTACCAGTGGGTGGAGAGTATGGGGTAGTCACTTCATTGATGTCAGATGGGGATAGAAGTCCAGGTTTCCTACTCAGTCTCCAGTGACACAGGGTAGGGAGGGGGGGTCAGTTACTACTTGGAGGTAGGAGTTTAGGCTCCCACTAGGCCTATGTTAACATAGTCTAGGTCAGAGAGAGAAGGGGTGTCTCATTACTACTTGACATGTGGCTTCACATACTATGAGGGCAAGCCTCGTTTTCTTTGGGCAGTGGTGGAAAGTCTGGGCTCCCTATTCAGGCTTCTCTGATACCACCCTAGCAGAGGATGGAGGGAGAAGGATGTCCTCTTACAGATGTAAAAGGATAGAAGTCTAGGTTCCCCACTTAGCGTTGGCTGGTACATGAGGGACTACAGTTTTTTTGTTTTTTTTCCTATACTGTTTGCCTGGGGTATGGTGGTTATTGTCTAAAAGGTTTCTGTATTCCAAGACATCTCAGTCTCTTTCCTGATCCTGTGGGTAAAGAGAACAGACTTTCTGGTGTTCTTTATTTCTTTTTTGTCTGTGCTCATTGGCACAGACAAAAGAGATATCTTTCTATCCCATTGACACTGAAGTGCTCAATAATCTGTTTCTTGAATGAATGAGTAAACAATAGATAAATGTGGAAGAAATAGGGAAAAGAGTATTTACTCCAACCTTTCCCTGTTCAAAATGTCTCTTTGTTACATTCTCATTAACAAAATCCAAATATCTATATATGTGTCCTACATGGATCTATAAGTGCAATTACATGAAATAATAACAGCAACATATATATAAACAGAAAATGTGTACTAGGACCTGCACTTTGAGGATATACAAGCTGACACCAGAGGTAGAGGAATTCCCACACATGTCTACCAATCTCAGTGAATTCCTGAAACCCTCCAGATATAAAAGGAGTATTTTAAGGACAATTAGGCTACCTAGTGAATATGAACAAGGGGTAAGAGAGAAAGTGGTGTTTTCATTTGGAGTATGGGAAAGCAATGTTCATTTAGGAATTCATTTCTAGAGGAAGAGGTCAAAATGAGTTCATTCCTTATGGACTGAATAAGAATTTATCCAGTTTTTCATAATTTAAAATGGATTATAAACTTTGGAAAGTTTATCCAGTAATTTAAATTTTCCTTTCTGTTCAAGAATTCTGAATAACAAGATGATATTTAAAATGGATTTTAATCAAGGAAATGTGTCTTAATTAGAGTTAATGACAAAAAAAATCAACATCCATGAAATCAATGTCTACTACTTTTTAATAAGGCTTCTTAAAAAAGCAATGTCGAAAAATTATACCACACTGTGGAAAGTATATTTATTTATACGTACTGCACCAAGACATATTTTACATGGATTTTATAACTATCATTATGGAAAACTTAACAAAGGTAAATTTTCTTAGTAAACACAGCTTTCATACTGGTAGCTGGGAGTAAAATCATGCAATATATACAATAATTATCCATTTTCTAGGCACTCTGTCTTTATTTTTATTTATTTTTTTATTCTTGGAAGCATTTTTGAAAACAGAAGAAGCAAACTTTAGATCACTAAAGGACCTAAAAACAAAGGCCAGTTCCCATTCAAGGGACAGAGAAAAATCACAGAGAAATACTGCCCTCCAGTGGCCACCTAAAATAGATGTTGGCAATGTACTAGGAATATAAACCTAAAATCCAAGATGTAATTATTCTTTTGATGTATTTCTTACCAAAGACAACAGAAATATGGAGGGGTTTTTTTTTGTTTTCAAATTTTATACATAACAAATACAGACAGTTCCTGACTTATGATGGTTTGGTTTACAATTGTTTGACTTTATGATGGTGTGAAAATGATGCATATTCAGTAGAAACTGTACTTTGAATGTTGATCTTTTCAACAATTTTTTTTTTGTTTTTTTAAATAAAATAGGCTTTCTGTTAGATAATTTTGCCCAACTGTGGGCTAATGTGATCTGAAAGTGTTTAAGGAGGCTAGGCTAAGCTATGAAGTTTTGTAGGTTAGGTGTATTAAATGCATTTTCAACTTACAATGTGTTTAATGGGACATAACCCCACCGTAAGTCAAGGAGCATCTGTATAAAGAAACACCTTCCTTGCTGAGTCTATATGGTCATTGTCAATCCACAATTGACAAGCACAATAATTTATGTTATATGTATCAGTCTGTACACTCTAAATTAGGTGAATGGTATCTACCAGGAATTATATGGACTCTAGAGTAAATACCAATAGAGAAAATGAAGGACTAAACGCTGTATTTATAAGATATTCAAACAAATGGCAGGAATGTTTTTTTCGCCATCAAAATATATAAAAATATATTCTATTGCTAAGTACTTAATTTGAAGAACACAGATGCCTATGTGTGTTCTTCTCTCTCTCATTCCTGTTGCATTTTCCACAGCTTGAAGCTGATTTAAATCTGGAACCATGATCTTCATTTAAGAGAAACTAGAGAAGTATGAAAGAAACAAATACAAAGAACAACAAAGTTTCCTAAATACTTTTCATACATAGTCCTGTCAACTTAAGAATCCTTTAGTGTCTGAAGTGAGGCTTTTAAAATGATAAATTATAGGGAATGCTATGTAAGAAGTTTTACAATCTATATAGCATTTGCCATTTTAAAAGCCTTAGTCTCACTAAGGTTTTTAAAACACAAAACACACATCTGGGCTATTTATTCTCTTCAAATTTTCTTCTACAAACATGAAAGTGCTGTAAGTATAAAAACTACCTGCAGGATAGATTTCTTTTAACTTCTCAGGAACTGCTTCCAGGGATAAACGTAGGCTATCTTAGAAATTTTAGTAAAATCACTAGAATTTAAAAGTAAACAAGGAGATTATCCTCATGATAATTAATTCAAGATAACAGCTGGTATGTTTTGACTGTGTCCCCACCTAAATCTCATCTTGACTTGTAACTCCCACAATTCCCACATGTCATGGGAGGAACCCGGTGGGAGTTGATTGAATTATGGGGAGGGGGGATCTTTCCTGTGCTGTTCTCATGATACTGAATGAGTCTGATGAGATCTGATGGTTTTAAAAAGGGGAGGAGTTTCCCTGCACAAGCTCTCTTTTTGCCTGCTGCTATCCATGTAAGGTGTGACTTGCTTCTCCTTGCCTTCCACCATGATTGTGAGGCCTCTCCAGCCATGTGGAACTGTAAGTCCAATAAACTTCTTTCTTTTGTAAATTACCCAATCTTGGGTGTATTTTATCAGCAGCCTGAAAAACACACTAATACAACAGCTAAAAGACTTCTACTTAGGTAGAAGTCTGTGAATCCCACCTGATTCACCATAATATTTCATGAAACAGTCACTCTTTTATCCTCTCGTTTTCAATGTCTTAAAAAGACCCACAAAAAGAGGAAAAAATTAGTAGTCAGTATGAAGTAGACAGCAGGACGAGTGTGTACATGAAATGCTCATCAATCTAAATACCACGGGTTTAAGATCCTCTAGTCAAATGGGCAGGAACTGGTATCACAAATGATTATAGAAAGGAATCTAAGTGAAATAGAAAAAAATCTCATGATCTTTTTCTACTTAATTTTTCTGGAAAATAAAATTCCATATAGTTATTTTGAAAAGAAATCTAGCACTGCTATTTGACAGAACTAGAATCAAGGGAAACCTGAGCCTAAAATTTGAAACTATATTTAGTAAAACAAATCACTATATATTTTGAATCTTACCGAACATAGTCAAAATATTCTTTGTGCTGATTACGATAAAAAACAGAAAACTTAAGCATGCGTCCTGCAATCACTTCAGCCTTCTCCAACAATTGTGTTAGATGAACTTTCGAATAGTCTGGAAAAAAAACAAAAAAGTTTATTATTAAAAATTTTGCACCAAAAGTACCAACTATATACTTAATAAATTGAAGATTATTAAAATTCATCTATAGGGAATTCAACTTAATAAATAGGAAATTCCATTTAAAAAAGAAAATATTGATTGTGTGGCACATTTTTCTTTCTACAAAAACATTTTTGTTATGGTTTATGGTTGTTTCTTAGAATACCTTTGCCTGCATTTTTCCATTTTTTGAAATTAGAGATACTGAAACAATTAAGTTACTTTTCATAATCCAAGTAATATCCATTAGCACCATACTAGCTTTTCTTCAACCAGTTGATAAACTGAATAAAAGAAGCTTATAATCCACAACCAATAGAAAAGTTGGACAGCAAAAATAATAATGAGTACATAAGACTTGGGTACACAAGATGCTTGAAACTCTAAAGCATCTGTCAAAGTAATCTGATTTTTTTTAACTCACTTTTTGTTTTGAAAGTTGTTTGAGAATTGCTGTCTAACTCCTATACCAGAAACTAGGGAAATATTTTGGCCTGTAAAGATTAGTAACAATTTCCAAACAGAAGCAACCTAGTTAAATTGCTCATGGCAACATAGTTTGTTTACTCACTGCTTCATTGGCTCAATAAACAGTTACTGAGATTAGAACATACGATGTAAAAGGTACTATGCAAAATTAGATGATCAAGTTAAAAGATAAAAAAAAGATATTACTATTCCTTGCAAAGAACTGATAATCTAAGAGAAGAGATAAATATATGTACAATAATGATTTATTATGGTAAGTATTAGCATTTTAAGATTGGGATAAGCACAGGGTTTCAAACACTGTCATAGACTAGAAAAGAAGTATATTAGCCTGTAGCATTCTATTTTATTTTATTACCAATACATTGTACAGTGCCTAGCTCACAGTATGGGCTTAATTAATGTTGAATGAATTCAATGTTCAGATTAAAAGTCAACTTATACAAAATAGCTTTATCAAAACTTAGAGTCAAGGTTATTGATAAAGCTTATATGAAAAGTCTGTAAATTACTCTGATAAACAAGAGCTTTGAACAGGTTAAGCTCCTTGCAGATTCAGCCTCTCTCTATAATTTTTTATAGGAAACGGTCATCTTGATGAACAGGAGGAAACAAAGTTTCTTTCTAAAAGACAAAAGGAAAGGATGACAGGAGTACTCAGGCAGAGATATCTTTGTATCCCATCAACACTGAAGTGCTCAATAAATGACTGTTTCTTGAATGAATGAGTAAACAATAGATACGTGAGTGAGATGAATAATAATGTTTCCAATCTAATGGAATATTAAGGTTCAGTTCCACATCAAACCTCCCAAAACAATGGCTTTGAGGTACTTTCTAGTGAAGGAAAGACACACATATGTATACAGGACACTAGTTTAGATGCAGATTTTCTTAAGGTCTTTTAGTACTCCAGTGAAAAATCTAGTAACATTTCTGCTAGGGACAGTCACTGAGATCTGCCTCCATTCACCTGAATTAAAAAATGATTTTTCTAGTTTCTGCCTTTCAGTATTGGTGAAAATGAAAAGGAAAAAAAAAAAAAAAAAAAAAAAAAAAAAAAAAAAAAAAAAAAAAAAAGAAGAAGAAAGCTCTGTCCTCTCTCAAAATGAAGCTAAAAAAATATGCTGAGTATATTTTCAAACTGCATACCTTTTTATTTGCACAGTTTTCATCTTGAAAAAATCAAACTATGGATATAGAAAAAAAGTGATTTGAAGCCATTACTCAGATTTTTCTGAGAACTTCAGCTTCCTCCAATCAATACAACATTGTTTATTCTGTTACACAATGCTACTGACAGTGCAAAAAATGACCAATGTCATATATATCACCTTGCAATTACAAAAAAGAAATATTTTTCTATAATTAGCTTTCCCAGATCAATTAACTTTTTTTCTGTATTTTTACCTAGTTCTCTTACCTGCTGTGCAGAATTCTATAATTTCACTCCATTCAGACACAACATAATCACCATCAACTTGTTTTGAGGCAGTCTGCACTGCTACCGTATATTCAGTTCTTGGACTTAAAAACCAGTGTCCACGGACAGTCATAGGCAAGGGAACAGCTTTTGCCACCAATTTTGTGGGAACATCCTAGGAATGAAAGAAGGAAGAGAGAGAGAAAAATGAGAGGAGACAGAGAGGGAGGAAGGAAGTGAAGAAGGAAGAAAAGGGAGAAGAGAGGAAGGAGGGAAGAGAGAAGGAGGGAAGGCACAAGGGAAGGAGGGAGGGAAGGAAGGAGGGGAAAGGAGGAAGTTAATTTAGTAGTATAACTTTAATCAACTGTAAACAATGGAGAAGAATTTATTAAATTCCTGACTGACAAAAGAATTTTCTGCTTAAAGATACTTAATAATTATTATATTTAAATCTCTTATTTGCCATATGCAAAAAACTAAGAACCAACTTTATCAAGAGACAAGCTTGAGGTCATACAGCTTGTTAATAACATAAATGTACTTGGATTCCAGTTTTCTTGATTTCTAATATGGTGTTCCTTTCTGTACACTATATGCTCCTCAAAATGCAGCATTCTCATACTAAATAACAAAACTTTAAAAAACAGAGGCATAAAAGATAAAGTTCAATAGTATTAAAATATTTGGTTAACTTATACTATCCAATAATTTTACTAAAGCTGCCTATTACTTGATATTTTACATGTTAAAGGAGAAAACACTAAAAATAAGAATTTTTACTTCACTTTCTTTTCTTTTTTTTTTTTTTTTTTGAGACGGAGTCTTGCTCTGTCGCCCAGGCTGGAGTGCAGTGGCCGGATCTCAGCTCACTGCAAGCTCCGCCTCCCAGGTTCATGCCATTCTCCTGCCTCAGCCTCCTGAGTAGCTGGGACTACAGGCGCCCGTCACCTCAACCGGCTAGTTTTTTTGTATTTTTTAGTAGAGACGGGGTTTCACTGTGTTAGCCAAGATGGTCTCGATCTCCTGACCTCGTGATCCGCCCGTCTCGGCCTCCCAAAGTGCTGGGATTACAGACTTGAGCCACCGCGCCCGGCCTTCACTTTCATTCAAGTATAGAGTCTATGTGTCTTTCCAAGGATATGGTATTCCAAGTGGAGAGTGAAGAAAAAGGTCAAATCTTGAACAATTCATCATTTAATATTTGAAATTTAAGATTTCAAAGCTATATAAACAAGGCAAATGTCAGCAAAGAGAATATCCATCACTAGAAAGTATAATCAGAATTGGAACTCAGAAAAAATAATGACTGCTCAGTCTTGCTCCCTCTTTCACACTTACCTGTAGTATGTATGATCCTCACTTATCTTTAGTATATATAATTGCACATCTAATAAAAGCAATATTTCTAGGTAAGATAAGAAAGTTCCAAAGTATCTACCAAGTTAAAACTTGATATCAATATTAAGGTATTGATACTGATTTTCATCATTGGTGAAAACACTGCAACATAAGAAAGAATGCTTAAAGCAGATAACTGTTATTTTCTCTATAGATACTTCTGGAGAGAGAGCTATATCAGAAAAGATATATGATATGTGAATAAATATCAGAGAAGTGTTATATGTCTAAAAACATTTAAAAGTTAATAATTTTCATTCTCAAAACTAAAAAGCAAAAGACAAAAATTTTCATTATCAAAACAAAAAACAAAAAGCAAAAGACAGCAGACTATCTGAAGCAATTTTTAGCCCTAAAATGTTTTTAAAATACCTTGAAGTTTATAAATTGCATCAGATTCCTTGTTTGGCAGTTAAAGGAAAAAATGTGTGCTTCAGGGGAAAACTATGCGTTGCCTATAGCACCCTCTTCTGGCTATCAGTCTCTGTTATGGAAGCCATTTTACAATTCTGTAATTTGTAGAAACTAATAACAATTCAGTTTTTCTTGTCTAAATACATACAAATAAATTATGTTCAGTGGAGGACAACCCTCCTCTTCACCCCTCCTATCAGGACTTCCATACCAGTTTATACCTGGATCTACAAATGAGTCTTTTCTTTGGATTACCTTTTGAACTGGTTATAACACCTCATTGGTTTCCTTATTAATGAGTTAAATAAAATCTTTAACGTAAATTAATTTTTACATCTAGATGATAGTCATGATTTTACCTTTTTTTTTGAAAATTATCTTCTAACAATAAGCATGGCATTTCATTTTCTTACAAAACTTATTAGAATGATAGGATTTTAAAGTTACATATAATTTTTATTTTTTCCCAAGTCAAATATATCACATAAGCCATTAATAGAATATTACTCGTTCTTTTAAAGTGTCCTCATACTTAGAAAGTTTTAAGATGCAAATGAGCATGAGTATTTGTTAGACTTTACCTTGTGTTTAAATTTATTGGAGTTCTTGTTCTCTTTTTTGTTGAGGTCAATAAAATAGTGTGTAATGCGATCCTTTGATTTTGAATCCATTTCCCATGAAATCTTGAATGAGTCACACGTTATATTGCTTATTTTGATGTTATGTGGTACAGGAAGTTCTTCCATCTCTGCTATGCCGCTGTCTTGTGATTTGTTCCCTGCAAGAAAACAATGCACAGGAAGTTAATTTCCAATTAATGGATTTTCCAGTTTGCAAGGTCTTTAGCTATGTACATATTTCTGAAATCACTTCATTAGTGAATCTGAGATTTCATTTTGTTCATGAAGTAATTTGAGTTTTAATGGTAGTAAAGAACGTTTATAAGGTCATATTACCAATAAAAAGTAGAGATGACTTAGTCCTTATCATCTTTACATTTTCCATTTACTTTTCCAATTTGTTTTCACAGAGTGAACACAAAAACACTGACACTCTAGTTTTCTAATCTATGACATGTTAGTTTTATACGGTTAGGATCCCTCTAAAAAGCCTCAAGAGCCTATTTTTTCTACATGACCAATCAATTTTGCTCTAAAGTAATATCAGATGTTTTAAGCCAGATAATTTCATAGAAATGTTGATAATGAAAGGGTCCATCCAAATGAAAGAAATATTTCTTTAAAAGTCCATGGCCTAGCAGTAACAGTCTATAAAAATTCCCCCTCCTCTTTCATTTTGGAAGCATTATATAGAGAAACAGCATGTAATGGTTTTACTACATATACAAATAATACTGAAGACCATTCACTTACAAGTTGCTATCTCAAGGATAACTCTAGAAATCTTTTATCTGTGGAATCTTGAATTTAATTTTGAGAGCTGAAACAACAAATAAGGCTAAAAGAAAAAAGATGATTGCCATAGTGATTGATATTAAAATCCTGAAGAATTTATATGACACTTAGTTACTTTAAAGATTATCTCTACACTTCCACTTAGAGAAAATGCTAACAATTTGGCTGACAGTATAGAGCAAGATTTGACGGATCATAGGACAAAATGAAAATACAGACATGCCAAGTTTGTTTTATATATAGGAAAGACATACTAGAATCAAATTTTACTCCATTTTTTTCTACATTCCCTTTCCCCAGGCCAACATAATGTTCAATGCCTCAAAAGAGAAAAAAATTGTTATTCAAATAAGAAAAAATGTTAGGCCATAAATCAACTACTTAACTTGTTCCCTAACATAATAAAATGTTCAACAAAAAAACAACAGTGAATGTCACCTTGTGGCAATACTTTCCATTTCCAGATTAGATTGTTCTCTCCTCCCCCATATTTCCATAACAGTCATTGATATAAACCTTTTGACAATTCCCAACTTCATTAAATCTTTGACCCATGTTGTCTCATCTCAACCTGCATTGTAGCCAGAGGAACTCAAAGGCAATCAAAAACTAATTTCAAAATAAGTTATTTAATTTTATTTCTTGAACAATACTTTCAAAAATCCTTCTTTCTTCTCCTATGTACTTTCTTCAGTCCCGTTTTTCCACATTCCCTCTCCACAAAACTCCCGAAAAAACTACTTCACCTTTAGTTTCCTCCCTATCAGGTTGCATAGACTCCCCAAATTACTTCTAGCTTAAAGCTTTTCAAAAGTTAAGAGCAGGGAAGAAATCAAGTGAAATTCTTATAATGGCCTTGGGAAAGGGAAAGGCAAAAAACACTCAAAACCACAGCAATTAGTAATTTTATACTATTTTGAAAAGCTCACATTTCAACCCATTAGTCTGTCCTACTTGTCTTTAAACATCAGTAATAGTAATGAAAAACTTTCTGAACTCTGATAGTAGAAATTTTTGTAGAACTCATCTGCATTATAACTATGTCCATATAACTTCACAACTGAGTGAAAAAAATACAATTGTTATTTAGGATCATGTAGATAAAAATAAAGCTATTTTGCATTTGATTCAATTTAATGGAAACATAAATTCAATACAGTAACACTATCTAAGATACCATTAATAGTTTTTGCATTTAAACTTCCACTATTGCTATCTTCTTCAACCTTAAAGTCACAAATGATTATTTTACAGAACGTAATACTTTGTTTTTTGGATTTTTCCTTCTGATTGTTAAAATTCAAAAGAAAAAAATGTTACTTTTATTATAAGTGAAAACCTTTGCTCAAATTATATTTTTCCCATTGGGAACAATATAAAGCTCAAGCCTAGAAATAATTTGTTATATTAAAAATCTTCATTTTCAAGCTACTCATCACAAAACCACTACATTAACTAGTTCTTAACAAAACCACTAGATTAACTTTTATGCAACTTTCTTACTTGGGTAAGCCAAGTAAAAAATTTAATGTAAATAAATCTTACAAGTTTACATGTAACTTTCTTCTTCCTCACTCTCTGTGAATCAATTTTTAACTGACTGAGATTTTGAGATAAGTGACAGAAGACAACAATTCTGTCTCTAAAAACTGATGAAAAAACAGTTATCCACATGACACTAATAATAATCAGTTACCAGCCAGTACTATCTCAGTTCTGTCAATCAATCATACTTCCCAAAGTAGCTTCCTTTCCTTAGTAAGACTTCATCTTACAGACAATTCTAGCTACATATCTCTACTTTACATGCCAAATGGTTCTAACATCTATGGCTACAGTGTGGATTGGTATAACTGAAAGCAGAATGAATGTACTTTTGTTTCATGTACTTTTGTTTATCCACAACATGAAAGTTGTTTTTGAGAACAAACATTTCAAAAGCAGTTTCTAATGACAGCAACTATTGAAATGCAAGCTGAAAACACTCCAAATTACACTAATAATACTTTCTATATACAGCTCTTTTCTCATTGAGCTTGTTATCTTATAAAAAAGATCAGATTTTTGTTAAAAAACAGCTTTATTGAGATATAATTCATATACCATATATTTCATTCATTCAAAGTATACAATTCAATGGTTTTTGGTAGATTCAAACTTGCGCATCCACCCGTACAAGCAATTAAGAACACTGTCTTTACCCCAAAATAAAACCCCACCTAAGCCATCATCCCTCCCACTCTGACCACACATACACACTTGACCCCTCCCTTCAGCACTAGACAATCACAAAACTATTTTCTGTCTCCATAGATTTGCCTATTTTGTACATTCATATTAAATGGTATCATACAATATGTGGTCTTTCGTGACTGGCTTCTTCACATAGCAAAAGGTTTTCAAGCTTCATCCATGTTGTACCAGTACTTTACTTCTTTTTATTGCAGCACAATATTCCACTGTATGCATACACCATTCATCAGCTGATAGACATTGGGTTGTTTCCACTTTGGGGCTATTATAAATAATGCTACCATGAACACTTGTGAACCAATTTTTGTGCTAACACGTATTTCCATTTCTCTTAGGTGTATACTTAAGAGTGCAATTGCTGTGTCATATAATAATTTATATGTTTAACTTACTTAGGAACTGCCAGACTTTTCCAAGTTAGCTGTACATTTCACATTCCCATTAGCAGTGTATGAAGGTTCCAATTTCTTCACATCCTCACCAACATTTAACATTTAATATTATCTATCTTTTTTTTTTTTATTGAAAAAAGGTATCATAGCGGTTGTGTAGTGGTATCTCACTGTGGTTGTAATTTGCATTTCCCTGATAGCTAATGGTGTTGGAAATCTTTTCACGTGTTTATTGGCTATTTGTATATCTTCTTTGGAGAAATGTTTATTCAGATCCATTGCCCCTTTTTAAAAATTGAGTTGTCTTTTTTTATTACTGAGTTGTAATGGTCCTTTATCATCTAGATACAAGTCTATTATCAGATATATGATTTGCAAAAATGTTCTCTCATTCTGTGGTTTGTCTCTTTTCTTTTTTAAAGCACAAAAAATAATTTTGACCAAGTCCAATTTATCTATTTTTCTTTTGTTGCTCATGCTTTTGGGGTCATATTTTAAGAAAATACTGCTTAACCCAAGGTCATGAAGATTTATTTTCTTCTAAGGGTATTATAGTTTTAATTCTTACATTTAGGTCTTTGATCCATTCTGAGGTAATTTTGTATATGGTGTGAGGTAGGGGTCCAACTTCATTCTTTTTCATATGGATATGTCACTATCTCAGCATTGTTGAAAAGATTATTCTTTTCTTATTTAATTGCCTTGGCACCCTTGCCAAAATCAACTGGTCATAAATATATGGTTTATTTCTACACTCTCAATTCTGTTCTACTGATCTTGATCCCCAACTCCAGTACTGCACCAACTTGATTACTGTAACACTGTAGTACGTTCTGAAGTCAAGAAAGGTGAGTCCTTCAACTTTGTTCATCTTTTCAAGACCTTTTTGGCTATTCTGGGTCCCCTGAATTTCCATATGAATTTTAGAATCAGCTTGTCAGTTTCTGCAAAGGAGTTAGATGGGATTTTGCTAAGGTTTGAGTTGAACCTATAAATAAATTTGGGGGTATTTTCATCTTAATAATATTGTCTTCCAATCTATGGAACATGAGGTGTCTTACCATTTATTTAGGTCTTCTTTAGTTTCTTTCAACATGATCCGTTCTTACATGCCCAAAATAAGCAAGAGTGTTTAAGGAGAAAGTAAATCTACATTATCAATGAAGAGATCACTGTAGATTAATTCCCTTTTAAATGTCTATTGTGGAAGTTTACAAGCATACATCAAGTAGACAAAATAATGCAATGAATCTCCATGTACCTATCGCCCAACTTTAAAACACATTGACATTTTGCCAGTTTTGTTTCATTTATTTACCATCTGGTTTTGAATTCATTCACCTTTTCTTAGATAAATTTTATTTTGATAGAATTTCAGACTTACAAAAAAGTTGTAAAACTAGTACTAAGAGCTCCCATATACCCTTTACCCAGATTCTCTACTTGTTAACATTTTACTGAATTTGCTTTATTATCTTCTCTGTCTCTCCCCCTGCCACCTCTCTTTCTCTCCACACATACACACACACATTTACTTCAGAATCATTTGAGAGTAAACTGCCCACAGGATGGCCCTTTTTTCCTAAACACTAAATTCTATATTTCATTAGAAAGATATCCTCTTACACAACCAAAGTACAATGATCAAAATCAGAAAATTACTATTGCCCTATCATCTAACCTATAGACCTCATATTTCAGTATTTGTTTTTTTAAAA